CCCCGGCCTCGGATTCACCCCCCCCCCCCCAGCCCCCCCCCCCCGCCCGGAGGCTGGCAACGGGAGCCGCAGCCTGCCAAAGCCCCGGAGCCGCTTCCCTAGCCGAGGGAGAGAAACCCGGGGATTTTTAGCAGCTCCTTCCCCTGCGCCTGCTGCGTCCTGGGCCAGGACCCAGGCCAAACGCGTGCGGACATGGTGTGTGTCAGCCTCCAGCGACCCACTTGGAAATGGCAAGTACTGAGTTTGTTTTCGCTCTGCGGCTGGGGCTGGGTCTCCGGGCAGATCCGCTACTCGGTGGTTGAGGAGTCGGAGGTGGGGACCGTGGTTGGGAACGTGGCCAAGGACCTAGGCTTGAAGGTGGAAGAGCTGTCCGGTCGCAGGCTGCGCCTGGGCTCGGAGGAGAGTCTGCGCTACTTCGCCGTGCGCCTGGAGAGCGGCGCGCTGGTGGTGAGCGAGCAGCTAGATCGGGAGCGCCTGTGCGGAGCCGCTGCCAGCTGCGTGCTGTCGGTGCAGGTGGTGACGGAGAACCCTCTGGAGCTCTTCCGCCTCGAAGTGGAGATCCTGGACCTAAACGACAACTCCCCGAGCTTCCCCACCTCCCACCGCACGCTGCGCATCTCCGAGTCCGCTACCGCGGCTGCGCGCTTCCCCCTGGAGAGCGCGCAGGACCCCGACGTGGGTACCAACACCGTGGGCTCCTACCGGCTGAGTCCCAACTCCCACTTCTCCCTGGATGTCAAGCAGTTGAAGGACGGAAAGCTCTTCCCGGAGCTGGTGCTGGAGCGCACACTGGACCGGGAGGAGCAGCCCGAACTGCAGCTGGTGCTGACGGCCGTGGACGGGGGCAGCCCGGCCCTCTCGGGCACGGCTCAAATAACGATCCTGGTCCTGGACAGCAATGACAACGCGCCCTCCTTTGACCGCACCGTATACAAGGTGCGAGTGCCGGAGAACACGCCCACAGGGGCTCTGCTCCTCCAACTCAACGCGTCAGATCCCGATGAGGGTCCCAACGGGGAGACGCAGTACTCCTTCGGGGTGCACACCCCCGACTCGGTCCGAGGACTTTTCACCCTGGATCCCCACAGCGGGGACGTGCGGGTGAGCGGTGCCCTGGACTTCGAGGAATCGCCTTTCTACGAGATCCACGTACGAGCTCGCGACGGCGGCATGCCGGAGATGGAGGGCCACTGCGTGCTCCAGGTAGAAGTGGAGGACGCCAACGACAACCCCCCAGAGGTGCTTCTCACCTCCCTGCTCAACCCGCTGCCGGAGGACACCCCGCCGGAGACCGTCGTGGGACTCTTCAACGTGCGGGACCGAGACTCGGGCGCCAATGGGGAAGTGAGCTTGGCGATTTCGCCCAACGTGCCTTTTGCCGTCCGCTCCCTTCAGAACCACTACTCACTGGTCACCCGGGAGAGCCTGGACCGAGAAACCACCCCGCAGTACGCGGTGGAGCTGGTGGCCCGGGATGGCGGCTCCCCTGCCCTCACCACGAGGCTCACGCTGCTCCTCAACATCTCCGATGTGAATGACAACGCGCCGCGCTTCTCCCAGGCCTCCTACGACACCTTCCTTCTGGAGAACAACCCGCCGGGCTCCTTGCTCTGCACCATCTCCGCCTCAGATCCCGACGATGGGGTCAATTCCCGGCTCGTTTACTCCATTGAGGGCGGCCACACTCAGGGCGCCCCCACCTCTTCCTTCGTCCACATCGACCCCGACAGTGGTCATCTGTACGTCCCGCCCGACTTGCAGGTCCTGCCGGTCACTGTGGCCGTGCGGGACTCGGGGTCCCCCCCGCTTCGCGCCAACGTTACCGTCTACATCTTCGTGCTGGACCAGAACGACCACCCTCCCCGCGTGCTGCACCCCGCCGGCGGTAGCGACGTCCCGGCGCCCCAGAGGGTGCCACTGTCTGCCCCGCCGGGCTACCTCGTCACCAAAGTGACAGCGGTGGACGCGGACGCTGGGCACAACGCCTGGCTCTCGTACCACCTCCTGCCACAGTCCACCGAGCCCTCCTTGTTCCGCGTGGTCCCCTACACCGGGGAGGTGCGCACGGCGCGCGCCCTCCGCGACACTGACGTGGCAGCGCAGCAGGTCCTCGTCCTGGTGCAGGACAACGGGGACCCGCCGCTGTCCACCACTGTCACCATCGCTGTGGTCCTGGAGGAAGCGGCCACGGAGGAGAGCTACAAGCCTCGGGATTTCCTGGCTGGGACCAAAGAGAAGCCGGATCTGACCCTCTACCTCATCATCGCGCTGGCAGCCGTGAGCACCATGGCGCTTGCCACCTTCACCGTCCTTGCCGCCTGCTGTGTGCGGCGCAGGGGCCGTGCCACCGGCTCGCCATGCTGCTGCTGGCTCAGCGAGTCGCCGTCCCGGGACTTCTTCAAGCAAGCCAGCCCGAAGCTGCAGCTCAGCTCCGACGGCACACTCAAGTACATGGAGGTCACCCTGCGACCCACCGACTCGCAAAGCCAATGCTACCGCACCTGCTTCTCTCCCGGCTCCGACAGGAGCGATTTCACCTTCATGCGGCCTTGTCCGGCCCTGGGCACCCTAGCGAGGGAAACTGATTCGTTCCTCTCCGCTACCGGTACCCTGCAAGGCCCCAGCCAGGTGAGATCCTGCCAGGGCTTGTCGCTAGGGGAAGGGGAAGGGGCTGCGGCGCCGCGGCGGCTC